GAAAGGTTACAGCAATGTCTTATGGATTTAGCCATGGAGTGGAAGAAGATCAACCAGAAAGAAGAAATAAAATGGAAAAGGAATTGAAAAACTTTAAAATATTTTCACCTCTGAATATTTAGGCGTCGATTGCAGTGTTTATATTAAATCACGTACTAATTTTTAAGCTACAGTATGCAGCTCTGCGCTGCTGCTCCGCCCTCTATTGAGTGGGAAGCTTATGAGAATTTTATTTACAAATTTGTTTTTGGCTCAATTTATTGAAATTCTTTTGAAATCTTTGTAAAATATATCTGCTATGAGCATTATATGCATAGAAACTCATTTTCATATTGGACTTTGAGAATATAGGTCGCTTTCATCTAGGTCACTTAAACTGTAAGCCTCTTCTAATTTTTTTATTTCTGGTTCTTCTCTCTTTTATTCTTTTCTTTTCCGCTGATCACAATGAGATCAGCTGATCGTATGAAAAAGTTTTTTTTCTCGTTCTAGTAATGCCACCTAAAAGAAGGTCGCGAGGAACTCCTGTTGGCGGAGAAAGCCGAACCACTCGTTCGTCTGCAAAGAAGGTAAGATTCTGCTTAGTCAACATGGGAAAAACTTTTTCGTTTTCATACTTTTATTAAGCATTCAATATTATTACCTTTTATAGTAAAAGATGTTCTATCGTTTTTCCTTTGCTTAGAACTAAACGGTTTTTGAGACACCTTTTTCTTTTGATTAGCACGTTATTTTTCCCGTTTCATGTCTCATATAATTCTCTTATTTTGGGCGAAAGCTGATCACACTGATTCGGAAGCATCTGCAACTTCTGACGATGAGAAACCCTTTGACAAAGGAGCGTTTATGAGTGTGATGAGATATGATTTTGAGGATTTACTGACAAGTATGACTTTTATTGCAACACTTAGGATTCTGAGATATATCATAAGCTTCTGAATTGTTTTATCACTTCAGATGAGCGATTTGAGCAACCTGACCTGATAGGTAGAATAGAGCCTAGCGGTAAGTTGGGATTTGGGCATTGCTTTTTGTTTTAAAAAATTACATGTCCTGTTTGACCTAGTAAGATTGTGTGTTAAGAGTTCAATCTGGAGTACTTCGAACAATCTCGACTTGCCACACCTCTTATCTTCACTTGTGATCCTCAGGAACTTGGAATGAAGTAGGTTTTTTTCTAACAGTTTGTGTTGAGGTTGTACTTTTTTATATCATTTTTATTATTTCTTTCACTCTTGTTCAGCTTTGTTT